TAAGAAAATGTGGCACATATACACCATGGAATACTATGCAGCCACAAAAAAGGATGAGTTCATGTCCTTTGTAGGGACATGGATGCAGCTGGAAACCATCATTCTCAGCAAACTATCGCAAGAACAGAAAACCAAACACCACATATTCTCACTCATATGTGGGAATTGAACAATGAGAACACTTGGACACAGGAAGGGGAACATACTGGGGCCTGTTGTAGAGTGGGAGGAGGGGGGAGGGATAGCATTAGGAGATTATACCTAATGTAAATGACAAGTTAATGGGTGCAGCACACCAACATGGCACATATATACATATGTAACAAACCTGCATGTTGTGCACATGTGCCCTAGAACTTAAAGTATAATTTAAAAAGTACTTAGTAAAAAAAATAAAAAATAAAAATAAAATTCTACTACATATGTATCTATGTGGGTGTGTGTGTTTGTGTGTGTGTGTATATGTTACATCCCTCTCTCTCCCTTAAAAATCTCAAAAAGTTGGCAACATACTAAGAAAAAGCCAATTCAAAATCTAAGGGAAGGTGGGAACCATGAAAGTGGCCACTAAAACTTTATTTACTCTGAGAACATTTCTCGAGTCTGTTGAAGTTGAGCTTTGGTTTAATAGCCATCTGGGACAAGGGATAGATATAAAAGTCAATATTCAAGGACTACAATTTTTAAAAATTAAATGACATAAACTTACAATTAAAGTATATTAAAATAACAGTATATGTTACAAAAATTATACAAAATATATAAATACTCAAACTATATACTCAAAACTTATTACTACCCAAATATCATACTTCATTGTACTATTGCATATGCTTTTGAAATTATTTATGTCAGTTGTATCTGTGTGGGGCTTAGTGCAGTGTCTCATACCTGTAATCCCAGTGTTTTAGGAGGCTGAGGCTGGAGGATCTCTTGAGGTCAGGAGTTCAAGGCCAGCCTAGGCAATATAGTGAGATTCTATCTCTATTTAGAAAATCATTTTTAATTATCTGGGCCTGGTGGCATGCATCTGTAGTTCTAGCTATGCTTGTAATCCCAGTGCTTTGTGAGGCTGGGGCAGTTGGATCACTTGAGTTCAGGGATTTGAGGTTGAAGTAAGCTATGACTGCACCACTACACTGCAGCTTGGGTGACAGAGCAAGACTGTCTCAAAAAAAAAAAAAAAATCATATCTATATGGTGAATGTACTGTATAATTGTGAGCACATCTTCCCATCTCCATTGTCAGAGGAGTCACAGTTTTCACTTGAAATTGTCTTTGATGATTAACTTTATATGTTAACTTGGGTATCAGTGATACCCACATTGCTGGTAAAACAGTATTCCTGGGTGTGTCTCAAAGGGTGTTTCCAGAAAAGACTTGCACTTTAATTATTAGATTGAGTAAAGAAGGTCTGTCCTCTCCAACGTGAGCAGGCATCATCCAGTCCACTGGGGGCCTGAACAAAAAGGAGAAAGAAGGGAAAAATCTCTCTCTTCCTGATCAGGGACTCCATCTTCTCCCACCCTTGTACATCAGAGCTCTCGGACCTGAAGAGTTCTTAATAGATGGGTTTTTTTTGTTTGTTTTTTGTTTTTTGTTTTTGTTTTGTTTTGTTTTGTTTTTAATTGAGATGGAGTTTGATTCTTGTTGCCCAGGCTGGAGTGCAATCGTGTTTTGTTTTGTTTTGTTTTTAATTGAGATGGAGTTTGATTCTTGTTGCCCAGGCTGGAGTGCAATCGTGTGGTCTCGGCTCACTGCAACCTCCACCTCCCAGGTTCAAACAATTCTCCTGCCCCAGCCTCCTAGCTAGGATTACAGGCATGAGCCACCACACCCAGCTAATTTTTTTGTATTTTTAGTAGAGATGGGGTTTCACCGTGTTGGCCAGGCTGATCTTGAACTCCTGACCTCAGGTGATCCACCCACCTCAGCCTCCCAAACTGCTGGGATTATAGGCGTTAGCCACCACACCTGGCATGGAATTTTTTTTTTTTTTTTAAGAGATTGGATCTCACTGTCTCACCCAGTCTGGAGTGCAGTGGTGCAAACATGGCTCACTGCAGCCTTCACCTCCTGGGCTCAAGTAATCCTCTCCCCTCAGCCTCCCAAGGTGCTGAGACTACAGGTGTGTGCCATCACATCTGGCTAATTTTTTATTTTTAGTAGAGATGAGGTCTCACTATGTTGCCTATACTGGTTTTGAACTCCTGGGCCTATGCGATCCTCCTGATTCAACCTCCCAAAGTGTGATTATCGGCATAAGCCACCATGCCTGGCCTCAGTAGATTTTTTTTTAAGGAAAAGAAAAGCACCTTTAATTGACTAATATTTGCCTTTCAAAGCCTACAGAAGCAGGAAAAAAATCTGTTTCTCCCCTACTCCTTACATACTTGTAAGAAAGTTCCACTTATTTATTTACTTACTTATTTTTCTAATCTCAGCTGTGAATTAAACCCTAGCAAAGTAATTTTTCAGACAAGTTTAGGACTTTGGCTGCAAATCAGGAACTCTAAATACAAAGAAAACATGCATTTTAAACCTTTAGACTTCACAGGTCTAGCCAGAGTTCCCTTCTAAAATTCTTAGACAGTGTAAATGATACTAGTAAATGGTATTAGCAAGAAGGTGTAGGAGAATATGGCTCTAGTAGAAAGCTAATTCACTACTCTCTGCCTCAATGCTTCCTCAGCTTCTAAGTAAGCTTGTGGCTCTGCTGAATTCACAAAGCTGTTGGTATTTGCAAAATGTTTTTAATTTCTTTTTTAAACTTAGAGCTTACTTTAAAGAATATGATTCTTGTGGTGAACAGAATCAGCTGGATTGCAGTAATATTATGAGAAGATGGAGATACTGATGGAGAAAATAGCACAATCAGGAAATGTAGACAAGTATAATGAATATACTAATGACATTTTGAGAGGTTTTGGTTGAGGTCGATTTGCTTCTTAAAGTCATTATTATAAATATATTTTAGAATATAATCCTAAAATAACAGTACACAATTTTTTACTTAGCATCTAACTGATAGCTACAAATTGAGTACACAATTCATATTGAACTGAACGTTTAGAGATGGCATTTCTTACACATCTTCCATGATCTTTTCTTCTTTAAAATAAATATTTTTTAAAAATTGAACTTTTTTTTTCTGCCAGAACTCTTCAAAAAACAGATAGAAGAACCAAATTGGGTCTAGTTTAAAATATTGACTATCAATAAAATGCATGACTGCCATTAACATATATATTAACAGCTACATATACTATGTTAGGACTTGCACTTCCAATATGCTGTTTTATTAATTTTCCTGCTGCTCCTTTTCTCCGTGTACATCATGTTGACTCAAACGAAATGAAGCTATTAAATAGTACATTATAACTATTGCTTTGCATAAACCTATTGAATGTTTTTATCTTCCTTTTGAAAATGTAAACCTGAGATTATTAATATTTTTATTATCCAAACAAATTTAAAAAGAATATTCTGTTATATTTCCATTCTCCCTGAATAGTTCTATTGTCTGAACTTCCTTAACATTTGTTTGGCCTGGCGTTTCCCTATAACATTATATATTAACATAGTAATCTGGAGACCCAGACGTTTTTATCCAGCAATGCAATATAGGGCCTTTCAACTTCAACCAAACTAAAACATTTAACGAGAACCTAAGTCTCGCACCCCAGCTCCTTTTTTTTTTTTTTTTTTTAAGAATATGGTGGTGACAATACCAGACCTTACCATTTTAATTCTACCACGTGTAGATTTAATTTTTAACAAAACATTATGTAGAATATTAAGAAGGACAAAACATATTTGGCTTTAGAGAGTTTGCAGCATAGGCAGTTGTGAAAATATACAAGTAATTGGACATAGAAAATAAATATAGCTACAGGATTAATACATTCTTTTCTCTTCCCTACTAAGAATTTGTACGGAAATTCCACCAGGAGGCAGCAGAAGAGCGGGTTTCTCTCACCTCCCCGGCGGACGCCGGAGACACGGCGGAGCCTGATGTCCCTCAGAGCTTTAATCTTCCCCTCAGTCGCCTTTCCCCTCACCCGCCTCTAATTAAGTCAGAAAGGCCCTGTATTTATTTGCCCATGAACTGACACAGCAAACCAACAGCAGCCATTGTAGTGTGAATGGATTTGCGACCAGGCAAGGGGCTTCAGCCGGGATTACCCGCCCCGCAGCCGGATGAATGTGCTGAGCACAAAGTCTGCTCAAAGCCGAGCAAACGGACTATTTGTGAAAATGCCATCCTGGCTCAAGTCTGATTAAGACCGGGGGTCCCCAGGCCGTTTGATCTTCGCTCATCAAAGAGAGTCTTTAAACAAGCTTCATTTTACACTACTGTATGCTAGCGACGGGTTGTGACACCCAAGTGCAGCCACCGTGAGCAGCCAGCACTGGGAGCGCGTGAACAATGGAGATTCGCCGCGCCGCCTGGTGCAGGGCGCGGGCCCTGAGCGCTGGGAAACGCGCCCGCGCTGGAGGCAGGGCCTTTGCGGAAAGACTCAGGTTTGGGAGCCCATAGGTCCGCCGGAGAGGTATCCCGACGTGCCTCCTGCCAAGGACTCCTAGACTTCTCTGAAAATGATTTAATTTTTTTAACTTAAGGGTGATGAAGAATCCTTACAGGAGTTAATTATACATCCCTCCTCCTCTTCCCCGCCAAAAGTTAATAGTTCCATTTAATAGCCTACATCTTCCACTCTTTAGTATTTCTAAGACTGGGTGTCAAGACTCAAGTGTTTTTAAGGTCCTACTTTCTACTTTTCACCTTAAGGGGCTTTACAATTCACTAGTTGCAGAATTAGTGATAGCCGAAAACATCAGCTTTAAATAATACAACCAATTTTGTGATGGGAAAACAACCTCTATCTACACACACACACACACCACACACACACACACACACACACACACACACACGTTTTTTAGAAAGTCGCTTGGTTCAAGTAATTCACGTTATTTCCAGGCACTTAATACTTACATGCCAGTCTCTTCAAAATCGACATGCTTAGTATCGATGTCAATGATTATTACTTGATCTTCAGGCTGTATAAGAGAACAGACTCCTTGCAGGATGTTCTTATTTAACCTGAGCAAAAGAAAAAGCCTTCTCTTGGCAGTGCTGAAAGAAAAAGAAAAGAAAGAGAGAGAGGAAGAGAAAGAGACTTTTGTAGTGAAAAGGAACCTCTCCGTCTCCCCTTCATCCCATTTTATAAAGAAAAGCCAGCACCACACCAAGAGTTAAGCGGCTTTCCCATATTTAGGAGCCAGATTATGGCTGACACCCTATACAGAGTACCATCCCCAGCCTTCTGACTCCTTGGCACGATGCCTTTCTTGGCCATACCCTGGGAGAAGAGCTGTCTTATAAAGGAGGTAATAATAGGAACTCAATGACGTGGAAGAAAACTGTTTTTCTCTAGATGCGGAGACTGTTTCATGGGATCCTACATCCTGCTTTCTGCAGACACTGGCCTATCCTTAGGGTTGGAGATGTTAAATCCTTTAGGGGACTCAAAGAGGACATTGCACTCCCTGTATCCACCACCACAGACCTTTCTGAGTATCAGGACCTCAGAAAAGATGCAGGCAGATATCTATGTGGTTTAGGCACTATCTTCACTGTGTTTTAGTCAAATGTTTCTGGGTTCCGGGCTCTACTCTCAGATTAACTTTCAATGTCCTGCTCTAGTAAAACACATCTTCTGAGCTTGGTTAGAAAGCTACAACGGAGGCTGATTTATCTGGGCTGACCATCTCCACTGCTCAAATAAACATAATCACGGTCAAATCTTGCCTTCTGTTTGTACTGAGGAGTGCAGAAAATCCAGCTCTCAGGGGAGTCATAACATGGACCAGGTCTAAAAGTTCTTTTAACATCACGAAGAACATTAAGACTAAACTGTTTTAAAAGTCAATGAGAAAGTCGTATCACTTTTTTTACGAAACATCAGGGATGAGGAATCCCTACTATATTCAAGATTGACACTAACAAAAATGTTGGCAACACACACCGTAAGGAATGATATTTATGCAGCATTTTCCTAGCAAAGTAAAAGTGTATGGCAACAAATCTGCTTCTTTTGATTTAATCAAGAGAAAGAAGGAAAGAAGTAAGGTAGGAAAGGAGGGAGAGAGAAAAGAAAAGAGGAAAGGAGGGAATTAAAAATACAGCAGTAGACTGGGCGCGGTGGCTCATGCCTGTAATCCCAGCAGTTTGGGAGGCCAAGGTGGGAGGATCACTTGAGCCCAAGAGTTTGAGACCGGCTCTGCCTGGCAACATAGTGAAACCCTGTTTCTACAAAAAATTTAAAAATCAACCAGGTGTGGTGGCATGAAGCTGTAGTCCCAGCTACTGGGGGGTGAGGTGGGAGAACCACTTGAGCCTGAGAGGTCAAGGCTGCAGTTAGCCATGATTGCACCACTACACTCCAGCCTGAGCGACAGAATGAGACCCTGTCTCAAAAAATATATAAAAATATATTAAATTTTTTAAAAAAAATCAACAGTCACAAATAACAGAGATGGAAAAATAGTCGGTGAATAGCATGGTGTGTTTTGGAGTGTATTTGTCTGTCTCCTTCATGGATGAAAAGGTTGAGAAATATTCTATGTGTGGCATCCAGCACTTAAAATATAAAGAAGACATGTATTATTATGCTGTTCCTGAGTTATGAGATTCAATTCCACACTGATAAGCATATTTCACCTATTTAAAAATATAATACAAAATATTAAACTTGTTACATTAATTATGATCATATTTATACCAGATTGAATAGGAGGCAGGGTTCCCTACAGGACTAAATAAACTCAGTTTAATAAACTAAATTCACCTACCCTGGCTCACACCTCCTCTGTCACCCAGCTGTAAGAGAGACTCACACAATCACCAGAACCTTCTCTCCTTCCTGAGACGTGTTGGTCACAGTTCCTGCACCTTTTTATTGCTTCTCCATGACCTGGTATCTGCCAAAATATAATCGATGGTGGAAAAATTTTTGCCCCCAGCCCCATATAAATATATTGTATTTCCCCAACTACTCACAGACTGAAAGCTTTCTGAGGACAAGAAGCCTGCCTTTCATATTGTGAGATATGCTCCCAATAATGGGTACATGCCGAATATTAACTGGCTGCTGATGGAACAATGAGTTTTACTGTACCTCTTTATCTACCTTGCACTCTTGTTGCCAGTGAGCAAACCACATCCTGGAAAGGATTTTCAAATGGAGAAAAAGCACTGAAAAAGTAAATTTCCTCATTTGGAACAAAGGTATGATTTACTATGTACTTAGCCCTCTCTGAGGACCACCCATGTAATTTCTCCACTGAATAATTTGTGAGGTTACCTCTCCTCTGCCCACTAAATGATTTGAAGGTAGATTATATGAGAACTCATCTTTTATCACACAATATCATGTATAATGCTTAGCACAAAGTAGGAACTCAGGTATTGACCAAATCATTATTCATTTTAAACTCATGACAACTTCAGGAGCAACGTGAAAGATGAGGAAGAAGGTAGAAGCTAGCCCGCTCTTGAACTTCTATGCTTGGTTTAGCTCTCCTGACTCAGTACCACAGATTCTGTCCAGACTCAGTGAATATTGAAACATAATAGACATATGATTTGTTTTCAGAGATCAAGGTTGAATTTATGCAACAAGCCTCTTTGTTGTAACAGAGTTTTCCCTTTGTTGATTAAATTGTTCCACTTTCTTCTCTTTTGCCCCAGGCAATGGATTTTTTGTGTGTGAAACCAAGCTTTTAATGAACCAAGTTCATTAAATGTATTAATCATATACTATCTCTTCAGAAAAAAAGGCAAGAGATTGATCTTTAATGTGGCATAGATGTATTTCTAGATTCTAAATATTTAAACAGGGTAATAGCACTAAAAAGAAACATTTTCAACCTTCTGATTGGCAGGCGGATTTTTCTCCACATTTCAACGTCATTCAAACTTAATACAGCTTGCAGATTTCCTAGTACAGTGAAGGTGCTTAACGCATAAATTCCTGACAGGATAATTTCCTGGGCAGATGGAATTTGGGATGGGAGGAACACTAGTCTAACTAGGGTACCATTCAAGAATGATTTAGATGATGCTCTTAATATTACCTTTGAAACTGAAGGAACTAGAACACAGACCATGGTAAATTGTATTTTAATTACTCTTTACCCCACTAAACTTCAGGATTTTATTACTTTAAGATTGTCACTGGCTTTACTTGGTGGTGGCCCCAGTTCTGACTACAGTAGGTCAGTCAGCATGTGGAGTCATTATAGACAGCCTAAATCTATACAGCTTAGAGGAGCACAAAATAAATATATCTTACTCTTTATTAATTCAATAGTGATTATCCAATCATCTCTCCTTTTTCGAGACTCACAAAACTTTTGCCTATTTTCTGACACTTATAATATCAATCTGTTTCTAAAAGAATTGTGTACATTTTTATATTTATTACTATAATTTTATTGTTACTACATCTTTTATTATTACTGTAATTAGAATAAAGAGAACTTTATTCTTTAAAATGAGAACTGTGTCTCATAAATATTTGTATTCATTGTGCCCCTCCCCCACCACCCATCTCACCAAAAAATTTAAAAAATAAAAATAAGGCAACAACCCAGAGGGCAGCCCAATGCCAGAGCTCTAGGCTTCCAATAAGTTTTTGTTGAATTAAATAGATCATTTCCCATTTATAAGCATGACATCATTCTTATACACCAGCTTTACTTTATTATATCTATACACCAATTTTAATGACGTCAAATTCTCTAATTCACTTCCAGCTCTTCTTCTCCTCAAGGTAGTTTCTTATCTCCCTAGAAGGGGTATTGTGTGGTCCCGTGCAAGGTATGACTTGGGAGCAAACCCTGCGTTCGGAAACATTGCGATATGATATACTAATGAGGAAGTCAGGCACTAAGCCCTAAGGGTTTCTATTGCCCCGCATTAGCCCACCACTGAGAAGGGAGAACGGGGAAAGGCGACTGACCCGGTACGTTGGACCCTGTCCGCTTTGGCCCCGGCCACTTTGATCTCAAGCGTCTGCCTAATCAAGTTCATCTACTGCCGCGATTGCCCTGATTCAAAGAACATTAAATGGTTTGATTATCGGACGGTCATTTCCCTCTTCCCTACAGCACTGATCTAATTTCTAAACCCCAGTCTCTCGCCTCCCTCTCTAAACTTCCCATCAAAAGAGAATTAGCTCTTCTTCCTTCTTACCCTCGTTTGATGTGCAAATTTCCTTCTCTTTGCACATTTTTCTCGCAGAGGCAGGGGGAGAGGGGGAGGAGGGCAACTGAACGACCTTAAACCAGGGATTTAACTCAGATCTGCAAACCGCGACTCTGAAGGGTTAATGAGCAACTTGCACCCGCCACCTGGCCCTCTCAGAGGCGTCTTGCTAGAGCCATTGAATTACAGATCGGTTTGTATTTAATACTGAATATGACTTGTGCGCACAGTCAGCGAGTATTGGCGTAAGGGAGAGGTGCAAAAAGTGCTTTTGCAGAGCGTATCACCCCTCGGCTCTGAAAAGTATTTCAGATCTGGATAATTCAACCCTTACTGCCAGTCAAGGGCACCCAAGTTCCCAGAGTTCCTCCTGCCGCCTGCATTTATTAAAGTCGTCTGCTATAATGCTTGCTGCTAGCCGTCACCCCGAAGGTGAGCCGGGCCAGCCGAACGACCAAGCAAGGGAGGAGCGGGGTGAAGAGTGTCAAAGGCCCCCCTTCATGTACACAAACACACCCCCTCCCAGCCCCTCCCAGCGCTTTGAAATCCCATCCCGGCTTTGTTGTCTCCCTCCCAAGGGGCCGGAATGCTCCGGGCCCGCGGTATAAAGGCAGCCGCGGTGGCGGTGGCGGCACAGAGCTCTGTGCTCCCTGCAGTCAGGACTCTGGGACCGCAGGGGGCTCCCAGACCCTGACTGTGCAACCGCACCGGCACGGTTTCGTGGGGACCCAGGCTTGCAAAGTGACGGTCATTTTCTCTTTCTTTCTCCCTCTTGAGTCCTTCTGAGATGATGGCTCTGGGCGCAGCAGGAGCTGCCCGGGTCTTGGTCGCGCTGGTAGCGGCGGCTCTTGGCGGCCACCCTCTGCTGGGAGTGAGCGCCACCTTGAACTCGGTTCTCAATTCCAACGCGATCAAGAACCTGCCCCCACCGCTGGGCGGCGCTGCGGGGCACCCAGGCTCTGCAGTCAGCGCCGCGCCAGGAATTCTGTACCCGGGCGGGAATAAGTACCAGACCATTGACAACTACCAGGTGAGAGGGGTCGGGCAGTCAGAGGATGCTCTGACCTTGAAAGGGTCCTATTTGGAGAGGAGGGAGTAGAACGTGCTGAGTGTGTGAGGTTCAGGGAGCATTTGGCAACCCTGCAATTGGGAGCAGTGGGCGGTAGCAGGTTTTGGAGAGGTAGACAGATAGGGACTGTGATCAGCGCCCGGGTCCAAGAGGGCGGGTACCTGGACGTCTGGATGCCTCACCCTCTCCCCGAACCTTTCCCACAGCCGTACCCGTGCGCAGAGGATGAGGAGTGCGGCACTGATGAGTACTGCGCTAGTCCCACCCGCGGAGGGGACGCGGGCGTGCAAATCTGTCTCGCCTGCAGGAAGCGCCGAAAACGCTGCATGCGTCACGCTATGTGCTGCCCCGGGAATTACTGCAAAAATGGTGAGTCCTGAAAGCTCCCTTCACACTAAAACTGTCCAGCCTTTGAGCGTCTACGAATAGGGGGGAAAAAACTCCGCCCTGAGAACTCTGTGGCGCCACCTGCAAATGGGTCTTCAGCATGCAGGATTCCGCTGAAGTATCTTCATTGCAAGTGTTTAATCGGGAAGAAGAGAGAAGTTCGGAGGTCTCTGAGGTCCTTATCTTCCTCCGTGGCCCTCAATGATTCAATGCAACGGCTCACCTCGTAGTGGACCATTCCATAAAAATTTGTCTGGGAGAACCTTGAGGTCAATTGAGAAGAGAGATGATGGGGAGGACGATGGGATCATACAGAGACCAAAGAAACCAGCTTTGGCGTTCTGCTACCCTTTTCATTTTTCTTACTGTGACTCTCACGGCTTTGCCAGATTGGCCTCTCCTGATTTTTGCTGAAACTGTTGTCAGCCAGAGGACAGTGATTTATCTGCATGGGCCATTTTTAAGAGAGATCTTGATATCCTCACAACCTGACCCCTCCATCCTTCCCCCTCCCTCTACCCTCTGCTGCCTTAATATAAGTACTCCTCCCCCCAACCACAGATCCACTAACTTTTAATTTTTCAAAAGGTGGATTTAGACAGCTAAAGAGGTCTCCAGAAATAAGCTAACAGGGTGACGACCCGCCTTAGGACCCAGCAGTACTCCAGGATGAACTAAGTAAATCTCTGTAATATGGAAATTACACAGTGAAGTAACTGGTGGGTGAGATTGCAATGTCCCAGGCAGCTGGAATTGCGTTTGCTTAACTTAGTCTGGCAGGACCCATATAGCACCAGGGGCAGAGAAGTTATTTTTAAGAACATTTTTTAAAGCGACTGATTTTCTTTTTCTTATCCCAAGGGTAATATTAAAATGGGCAGAAATCTCACTTGCCCCTACCACAGTTGGTGGGAAAGTATTTTAAATGGCTATACTAGGGATATTACATATGACTGACTGTATACAGTATACACATTTGTGCTTCTGTCCATCTAGAGAGTTTTGCATTAACAGTAAAGAGGTTTAAAATGATGTCACTGCAATGAAGTATCTCAAGTTGGTGCTGGCATGACAGACTGCCACTGTCATAGCTGTCAGCAGTAATGCATTACAACCCTGAAGTTAATCACTATTTCCTGCTTCTTTAGGAATATGTGTGTCTTCTGATCAAAATAATTTCCGAGGGGAAATTGAGGAAACCATTACTGAAAGCTTTGGTAATGATCATAGCACTTTGGATGGGTATTCCAGAAGAACAACATTGTCTTCAAAAATGTATCACAGCAAAGGTAAGGATGTCAAGACTCATTCTTAGCACATCAAAAATGTCTTTTGAATTGTTTTAGTGAAATGATGCAGGTTTAACAGTAACTATGTACTTTTTTCCTGCTGTCTTCTTCATAGGACAAGAAGGTTCTGTGTGTCTCCGGTCATCAGACTGTGCCACAGGACTGTGTTGTGCTAGACACTTCTGGTCCAAGATCTGTAAACCTGTCCTCAAAGAAGGTCAAGTGTGTACCAAGCATAGAAGAAAAGGCTCTCATGGGCTAGAAATATTCCAGCGTTGTTACTGCGGAGAAGGTCTGTCTTGCCGGATACAGAAAGATCACCATCAAGCCAGTAATTCTTCTAGGCTTCACACTTGTCAGAGACACTAAACCAGCTATCCAAATGCAGTGGACTCCTTTTATATAATAGAGGCTATGAAAACCTTTTATGACCTTCATCAACTCAATCCTGAGGATATACAAGTTCTGTGGTTTCAGTTAAGCATTCCAATAACACCTTCCAAAAACCTGGAGTGTAAGAGCTTTGTTTCTTTATGGAACTCCCTTGTGATTGCAGTAAATTACTGTATTGTAAATTCTCAGTGTGGCACTTACCTGTAAATGCAACAAAACTTTTAATTATTTTTCTAAAGGTGCTGCACTGCCTATTATTCCTCTTGTTATGTAAATTTTTGTACACATTGATTGTTGTCTTGACTGACAAATATTCTATATTGAATTGAAGTAAATCATTTCAGCTTATAGTTCTTAAAAGCATAACCCTTTACCCCTTTTAATTCCGGAGTCTAGAATGCAAGGATCTCTTGGAATGACAAATGATAGGTATCTAAAATTTACATGAAAATACTAGCTTATTTTCTGAAATGTACTATCTTAATGCTTAAATTATATTTCTCTTTAGGCTGTGATAGTTTTTGAAATAAAATTTAACATTTAATATCATGAAATGTTATAAGTAGACATGCATTTTGGGATTGTGATCTTAGACGTTTGTGTGTGTGTACGTATGTGTGTGTTCTACAGGAACAGACGTGTGACATGGTTAAAGATGATCAGAGAAAAGACAGTGTCTAAATATAAGACAATATTGATCAGTTCTAGAATAACTTTAAAGAAAGACGTATTCTGCATTGATAAACTCAAATGGTCATGGCAGAATGAGAGTGAATCTTACATTACTACTTTCAAAAATAGTTTCCAATAAATTAATAATACCTACCTAAATGGTCAATATTTTTTGGACAAGGAAGAAAATCATCCACAAAAATAACACTCCAAAGTACTTGGTGATTGGCGGGAACAGGAAGTGTGCCCATAAATACAGTTAACAAATACCTGCAGATTTTGTACCCAACAAAATAATTTGCAGTATCTTAATTACTACTACATGCAAAGCAGACTTATTCTAATTATTTTGGTTTTAAAATAATTATTCATTGAAAATCACAAATCCTTCTTCATTCCACTCTTTTTTCTCTTGCTCGGTGAGTTTAATATTTCAAATTTTGTTTAACCTGAAATCTATTGATTGGAATGAGGATAGGGATACAATATTTTAAAGAAAACCCACAGGAATGAAATCTAAATTTTCTTTGCATTTTTACTTGCCAGATTTCATATTATTTATACTGAGGAAAAGGGAAAGCAAACTTCCCAATTTACACTTTTTTTGTAGTATTCTAAAGTCTGCACCCAAACCACAAAATGCTGCGTTTTGGGCCTGCAAAGGATAGTAGTGACTGATCAATCAATCGTGCAAATATTTCCTTAAATAATGCAGATGTACTAGACTGTTTGTTGTTTTTGTGTTCCTGGAAGTCGTTCAGTTTCAAGGGGCTCAACCAATGGGACACAAGCTTTGGGTGGTTCTTCACTGAAAGAGGAACTGGCAGGATGTCTGCTGTTACATTCCTTTTGTCTGGAATTCTCAGCTTCCTCACCCAGGAGAAACTTTCTTTTTCTACATTCGCTTGTTTTCTGAAGTGCCAGAAAGGCCAACTCTAAGGCCTGCCATGTCCAATAAAGCACAATAAAGGAAAGGAAACAGGAAACTTTTTCTTCAAAAAGAAGAAAGAGAGCATTCTGCTTAAATGGGGAAAGAAGCAAACTTTTAAAGGGCTCTGGTTATTGGATCCTTTCCTTTCTACAGGAACGGACCTCAGTACATTGACCCTAGTGATAGCCTTTCTTGCTTCTCATCTCCAGATGAGAGATGTGTGGAAGAATACAAAACAAACCAAAGATGGACACCTCTTCTTCCTATCCAGATGAGAAATTAGGAAGGGATTTCCATTAAAAAGAATTCTTCATATTTGTAAAGGTGAAAAATACCAAGAAAATTGTAGATTTTTATTAGCTAGTAATAGAGGCTAGAAGATGGAAATCAGATAAAATACAAATTCAAAAGAGGATTATTTAAGGAATCTAAAACAATTTGGGTAATGATTGTTTAAAATGTCTGTTGTTGTTGCTGTGTGACTTTTAAACAATGTATTTTAATGGAAAATACATGCACCTGGGAAAATTTCACAAGGTATTTTATCTAATGTCAGTATACTCTACACACTGTCCTGCACGTTGCTTTTTTACTCTATGTGTCTTGTAGATCATTTTATATAATACATAGAGAGGTGACTCATTCTTTTTAAAGGTTACATTAAGTTTGTAGTTTGTTGGAATGGCAATACTATAATCATTTTAACCAGTGACGTTTAAGTTGTTTCGAGAGTTT